GACACTTCAGGTGATTTCAGTTTTTTAAAATTTGTTGAGTCTTGATTTGTGACCTAACATGTGCTCTATTCCAGACAATGTTTCATGTGCTAATGAGAAGAATGTATGTTCTGTAGTTGTTGGATGAAATGTTTTTTAGATAACTGCCAGGTCCAATTTGTGTAAAGTATAGTTTAAAACCTATGTTTCTCTGTTGATTTGTTACCTACATGATCTGTCCAATACTGAGAGAGGGGTGACCAGGTACCCAACTATTACTGTATTGGGGTATATCTCTTTCTTTAGTCTAATAGTGTTTGTTTTATATATCTTAGTGCTCTGGTACTGGGTGTGTACATATTTATGATTGTTATGTCTTCTTACTGGATAGATCCCTTTATCATTATATAATGGCCTTCTTTGACTCTTTTTATGGTTTTTAGCTTAAGGTCTATTTTATCTGATATAAGAATAGTTACTCCTGTTCATTCTTGTTTTCCATTTGCATGGTGTATCTTTTTTCTGTCTCTTCACTATCAGTCTGCATGGGTCTTTACAGGTGAAGTGAGTCTCTTGCAGACAGCATAGAGTTCAAGTCTAGCTTTTTAATCCAATCAGTCAGTCTGTGTCTTCTGAATGGGGAATTTATTCCATTTACACTTATGGTTGTTATTGAAAGATATTGTCTTACTCCTGGAATTTTGCTGATTTTTGTTTGGATGTTTTAAATATTTTTTGTTCTTTTCTTCCCCTTTTATTGTCTTTGGTGTTTGTTGGTTTGTTGAGGTGGAAAGATATAATTTCTTTCTCTTTCATCTTATTGTTCTACCAGTGGGTTTTGTCGTTTCTAGATTATTGATTGTAGTGATTATTGTTTGTTGGATTTCAGATGCAGGAGTCCCTGAAGGATTTCTTGCAGGGCTGGTCATGTGGTGGTGAACTCCCACAGTTTTTGTTTGTTTGGAAAATACACTATTTCTCCCTCACTTCTGAAAGACAGCCTTGCTGGGTACAGTATTCTTGGCTGGCAAGATTTTTTCATTTAGTATTTTAAATATATCATACTGTTTTCTCTGGTTTATAGAGATTCTGTTGAGAAGTCTTCTGTTAGTCAGATAGAGGCTCCCTTTTAGGTGACTTGATGCTTTTCTCTTGCTTTTTTTTTTTAAAGATTATCTCTTTGTCTTTGAGCTTAGCCAGTTTGACTGTAGTTTGTCTTGGAAAGGATCTTTTTGGGTTGAATCTGTTTGGGGAACTTTAAGCCTCCTGGATCTGAAGGTCCATGTGTCTCCCTATACCTGGGAAGTTTTCCATTATTATTTCATTGAATAGGTTTTCAATGCCTTTTCCTTTCTCCTGCCCTTCTGGAACACCCACTGATTGAGATGCTTGTGCACTTAAGGTTGTCTTCTAGCTCTCTTATATTTTCTTCATTCTGGGGGGATTCTTTTTTCTTTCTTTTTAACCATCTGGGTTATTTCAAAAAGACCATTTTCAAGGTCAGAAATTCTGCTTAAGCTCATGGTTGTGTTTTTTATTTCACTGAATGAATCCTTCAGTTCCATGAGTTCTGCTACATTCTTTTTAAGGTATTAATCTCTTTGTAAATTTCCTCCTTCATATCCTGGATATGTTTTCTTATTTCATTGTGTTGTCTAACTGAGTCTTCTTATATCTCATTGAGTGTCCTTAAGATTGTTTCTTGGAATTCCTTTTCAGTCATTTCAAGGGTTTCCAGCTGTATGGGTTCTGGTACTTGAGAATTACTGTATTCCTTTGGTGGTGTCATATTTTTATTTTTATTTTTTCATATTTCTAGTATCTCTAGATTGATGTCTGGTCATCTGGTAGAGCAGTTGCTTCTTCTATTACTTGAGTGGAATTTGAGGAGAGAAACGTCCTCCTCTTTTTCTGGACTCTGCTAGTTACTCTTCTTGTGTCAATGCAGTCAAGTGGTCAGTGGGCCACCTGTTGTAGCAGCAGTGGCTATGGTGGTGGCTGTGGTGGACAACACACATGGAAGTAGCATTTCTGGCAGTGGTGGGGGCTGTAGTCCCCAGACATGCTCCTGCCTTCTGTCATGTGGGAGCTTCCTGAGGTTCCTGGTGAGGTCCCTAAGTGCATTCCTGCCTTCTGTCAGGTGGTGAGCTGCCTGATGGAGTCTGATCTGTCCTTGGATAAAAATTTTTTCTTCTAGATTGCAGAGAAGAGAGGAAACTGGCTTCTCTCTTTATGGTTCACCTCTACTTCTTCTCAAAAGGCATCTTGGTATGGTAATCATGCCCATTACAGCCACATTGGAAACAGGTATATCCATGCCATGAACTCTGCATACTGTGTTTCTGCTCTGGTGGTGACAGAGACCCAGCCCCCACCCGTTTCCTGGCTCCCTCCAACAGCACAGACCCACAGAGGCCACTGTTTCTTAGACAGTCAAGGGGCCACTCATGAGAAAATTACATTGAGTGTAATAAGCCATGCACGGAAAACAAAATATTGCATGTCCTCACTCATACGTGGGTTCTAAAAAATTAAACATACTGAACAAAGAAGGAAAGATACAACAATCACAATTCACTGAACTTTCAAAAGTAGAGAACAAAATTGAGGCAGTAAGTAAGATATTAGTAAAGGACCAGAAGAAATGATTATACTGTGTGATTCTGAATATTCTAATTATCCTGATTTGAGCATCTCATATTGCACACAGGTACTGATGTTCAATGTTGTGCCCCACAGATATGTACAATCAGTTATATTTCTATAAAAAATAAATAAAATAAAATAATAAATTCTGTGTCTGAGGTGAGTGAGGTATGTGAGGCAAGAGCCTTACTTGCCTTATCCTAGTCCAGATCCTTCCTCTTCCTTTCCTTTGTGGATTTTCTTTGTCAAAGAAATCTTCACCTCCAAAAAGTCTTGTCCATTCCTCCCTGCTGTATCTCAAGAAGTGTCTTGTAGTAATAGCAAGAGGTCCCTAAACAACCCAGCAGACAAAATACTTTGCCTCTTTGCATACCTTCTTTTGGCCCTGTGATCTGTTTTCAAATGTTTACACCCTATTTGCTGAATAAAAAGGCCTACTGTAGATACCAAATGGAAATCCTCAACCATGGCCTCAACACAAACATCAGATAGTTTTAATGGCCTGTGAACAATCAGGCTGTAGCTGCTCATGTCTGAGAAGACAGTGTCAAGAAGATCGCAGGTATATGGAGTTAGTAGCCTTTACACATCAGAATCTAGGCTGGCTTTGCTCTGGGGAGAAAACCTATGGTTCTCACTAAAACAAGAAGTTTCCCACGTGAGGGACACTATGTCTGCTTCAAGTTTTCTCTTGTTTTTGTCATCCCTGTTGCCTGCTTCCTCCATCCTGACAACTTGACTGGTTTGAACCTCCAGCCCTGTCTTGACTTCTGGTTTCTTCCTAATTATTAGTTCCCACTAGCTGGCTTAGAATTGATTCATCACTCCATATCGGTCTTCTGCTGACCCTTGACTCCTAAACTTAGCCCACTATTCATCTTGTTTGGTCCTCTTTATTCCTAGCCTCTACTTCATTGTTTTGCATCCTGGTTCCTGTAGCCAGTGCTTTCCAGAGCTCAGTTTTACATTTTACTTAAAGTAACCACAGCCTTGGCTTGCCAGATGCCCAAATTAATAGGGTCTAGGGGTAGGGGACTCTAAAATAAACCAGGTTCCTAATTGTTTGCTGCTTCTCTTGATGTCTAGTTGTTCTTAGCATAAACATACCTTAATGTAAAGAATGGGCACTTGCCTGTTGCTGACATGGCTGATAAGCTGAAAATTTCCTTGGCTGCCTAAATTAACCCTAAAAAATCCTGCCTCCTGATTTTATGGGGGTAGCTAAAGAGAGGCATTGGTGTCTAGTTGAGTTCCAGATTCATAAAAGTTTTCTCTTCTGGGGTCAGCTCCTGACAGAGGTAGTTATTATCCCCATTAACTAGCTAACTATTGGTTCCAGAGGTGGCATTCTGAGTTTATTGCTAAACACTGAGGCAGTCTTAATCTAAGTTCATTTTGCTCCCTCAATCCACTGTCAAAGACAAATAGGTAAAGATTTTTAAAAAATTTATTTTTATTACTATATTTATCACTACACAAAGTAATAATTTTTTGTGGCCCTTTACCAATTAATGCAAGATATGGCACATATATACACATAGATAGAACAAAGGGCTTAAAACAAATGTGTGGTTCATGTTCCAGCCTGGAAAAAATAACAGTGTTTAACTTGGTGTTTTGTGACTCAGTACTCTCATTGAGGGGCACTCGCTAATGGGTGAGGGAGAGGACAAAGGGACTGGATGATGGAGAAAGAGCTGTGGGTAGGACAGTGAATTTGGAAAGACACACTAAGCACTCTTTGGCTTCTCCCTCTTCTTTTACTTTCTCTGGTTCGAAATACTTCCAACCAGTCTCTGGAGCCAAAACTAGACTAAACTCCCTGTCCTGAGGGAGGAGGTGGGGGGAACAGCGTCTCATAAAGAGGGATCATGTTGAGAACATATGCCACCCTCCTTCACCCCCATCAAGGAGAAGAGGCCAAGAAACCAACATTCACAGAATTATCCAATGATCAACGACAAGAGCAAGACCTCTCCTCAAATGGATTAGAAAAAAGAAAGGTTGGGGAAGAGCACGGTTGGTAGTTGTTGAGAACTAATACACCTTGTGTGGAAAATGGGTAGAGGCATGGGGGAAATTTTTGTATTACAAAGGTACCTACCTGTCAGGACAAAAGTAGGAGGCCCCTTGTTGGTTCCTAGGGCAGGGAGGGGCCAGTTGGCCAGAGCCATTAGGGTGGAAATGAGGGAATGTTTTCAGGAAAAATATTATTTACTGAGATAGAAATATTTCAATATTTTAAACAACTGGTGCAAACTGGGAGGAAGGGAGTGACAAGGAACACCATGAGTGTCATGAGGGCAAAGAGTAAAAAAGATACCAAGACAAAATATACCAACTTCAGAGTTTCATTGCCCACAAGCTAGCCCTACCTGTGATATTCATGCCACACCACTGCTCCTGATATGGAATTGCTGCTAATCTCCAGTCTTTCTTCCCCCTAGCAGTTTTAGCCCACTTCATTGGGAGCCTGAGGATGATGGAGAGGAAGGGGCTGGTGCCCCCTGAGATGTCTATCTCCCTCAGGGAAGAAGGGGACAAGGTTACCTTCTTGCAGAGGACCATCTGGTGGTCAAACAGGAAGAACACTCGCTGCTGGTTGCGGCCATAGGGCTGGTAGATCCAGGCCATTTCCCCAGTGTAGATCAGCTCCGAGCTCCTGTCTAGGATATCCTCGCCCTGGGAAGGACATGTGATCATGAGAGGAAGCCAGGCAGGAGGGATGACACCATTGCCTGTCTGGGGGCACCCAAGGCTGAGCACAGACGGGGGTGGGAGGAGGCCAGAAAGGGCCTGGTGTTAAAGGAGAGAGGGAGGGACTCCTGGGAATCCTCAAAAGCCTTTACAACTCCAAGAGCTAGAAAGACCCATATTGTTCACCCTGAGGCCACATGAGCTCCACCACCCAGGACTGCTACAGCTTCCGTATGTGGCACCAGCTACCATGAGGTTCTCTCTCTCTCTCTTTCTGAATTTCTCTCATTCTCCCTCTCTCTTTTTTTCTATAAATCTCTATGTCCCAGTCTCTCAATCCCACCTCTGACCTCTCAGTCTCTTTTTAGCAGGTGGTAGAAATCTCTCTGATTCCCATGAGCAGAAGGGGACAGGGGAGGGCGAGAAGGAAGATGATAGAGAGAGAGAAAGGTAATCTACTCACCCTATCATAATTGATTTTCCTTCTCTTGGTTCATTAAAATCTATTGATTAAATAGGAAATGTCATGACTACATGCTTCCTTGATCTGTTATCCAGAGGGCGTGGAACCATTTCTCCTGCTTGCTACATATAATCAGACACAAAAAAGCACCAAGACACCTGAATACTAGTTAATTCAATTTTACAGAGTTATCAAGGGCCCCCCGTCCTTATGGCAACTTTGGTAGGCCAGAGGTATATTGGGGGTGTTTGTCAGATGCCAAGCCAGACTTGGCCCTGTACTCAAGGAGCTTACATCTCAGTGAAGGAGATGAATGCAGGTATGCCCAGAACTCATGGAACGCAAGGCAAACCACAGCAAAGCCACGGACACAGGGTGTGTTCCAGGTCCTATGTGAAGGTGGGGACAAAGAGCAGTGGCCCAGAATGCAGAATATTTCCTGAGTACCTATATGGGTCTGACACTGTGCTAGACACTTTCACTATGTCATTTGAGCCTCACAATAGCCCTGGGAGGTAGATATTCTTGCTTCATTTTACAGTTTAAGGTAAAGAGAGGTAAAGTGATAAGGTCTTCCAGCTAGTTAGCTACATATCCATGACCCAACCCCTACTCCACAGCTCCTGAGAGTGTGCTTACTCCTTCCACTATATTATACTGTCTCTAGACCAAAAAGTCACTGGAGGTCCAGTCCCTTCCTCTCTCCAGGTCTCAGCTTTCCCAGATGTTAAATGAGGTGTGTGAAGATAATCTTTACGGTCCCAGCCCTGACAGTCTGATGCTAAGATCTCAGCCTTGTACACAAAACTTTCAAGGAAAGGTTAGAGATGGAGGCCCCAGCATCCTCCCAGAAATAATCAAAAGCAAATAGCCCAGGCAAGATAGTGTGCCAGAGAGAGGGGCATCTGGAAATGGTGTTCTCAAGCATACCGTTTTTTCCGGTCTACAAGATAGGAAGGAAAAAGGGAGCTCAGTGGAATTATTTTCTAATAATAGAACTTGAAAGAAGTTCAGAAATACTGCTTCGACTCCATGCTCCAGGCTTAGCCTCAGGATTACCCAGGAACTAGGTAAACGCTCCTTCTTGAGGGGTTCACATACTAGCACAGAACCTCTGGAGGCCTAGGGCTGGGAGAGAAAGCTCTCAGGGTTGGGGAGCAGTACAGAGCTTTCTTGTTGGAGGGATGGGAAGCTGAGAGTGGTACCAATTTATCACACCTCATCCTGATACAGGCTAGGTATGTGTGACACATTCCACTTTGAATATGTATGGAGTAAAAGAAAACCATAAAAGGGGACCAATGTCATAAAAAAGATGGCCAGGATGACTTTTAAAGGTACCGCTTGCTAAAGAGGATGATCAGACCAGGAGGACTACTCAGTACTATCTCGTCCACCCACCACATAAGCCAGGGGCACCCCAACTCTATGGTAAGTACCTGCCATATATAACTCCACCAAGCAAAAAAATCTTGAAAAAAATACACCACTATGCTCACCACATGACTCACCTTGACCAACTCATATATCCTCTCTGTGCCTCAATTTCTTAATCTTTAAAATGGGGATAACAACCTCATTTAGTTGTTGAAGATTATTTAAATTTATATATGTGAAGTGCTTAGGAAAGTACACATCACACTATGAGTTCTACATGTGATAGTTATTATCTTGATTATTACTGTGTGTCCCAGGTACTATGCACATTCTGTCCTGTCTCCTGTTAATACAACAAGCAGATAAGGGGTGTACTATTATTGCCCCTAAAATCAAGGTTGTAGAAACTGGAAGTAATTTGCCCAAAGGGGCAGGACCCAGATCAGACTCCCTCCAAAACCTATGCTCTTAATCACCAAACTACATGAGAATGATGACACTCTTCCCCCCACCCCACCTCGTAGTACAGCAACCAAACAACCACCTAGCTGCTTTGGAAGATTTCTAAGGTACTTGGAAGACCTGGGTTTTGGGCCCAGTGCTACTACCAACTCACTCTGTGACCTTGGAAAGTAGCTTAAACTCTCTCAACTTATTTCCTCATTTGTCAAGTGGGGATAATACAACAGTTCCTGTTTGACCCACTTCACATAGCTGTTTGAGAGCATTAGTTCTGCCCATGCAAGGAAACAGGCCTTGCATTGTTCGGAGCTTTTACCCTTGCCTTCTCTGCCCCACTTGTAGCACACATTTCTTTGTCTTGCCCCAAAACGTGTAATACCTTCTAATTGATGCCACCCCCCGCCTCTGCCACCCCCAGCACCATGATGGGCCTTCTGTTCCATTCCATTCCTCCAGGATTTTGCTCACACTGTTGCCTCTGCTAGGAATTTATCTGCCCCACTAGAGGCCAAAGCCGCATCTCATTCATCTCAATATCCCCAGTGTCCAGCACAGGGCCTGCCTTAGAAGAGATGCTCAAAATATAAGTCCCCTAGTATCACTTATTTGCTCAAAATCCTCTCATCTCACTCAAACTAAAAGCCAAATCCTATGAGGACATGATCTGACCTCTTATTAAGGCCATGACCTCATCTGCTCCCACTTTTCCCCTCGCTCACTCCACTCTGGCCACAAAGTCCTCCTTGCTGTTCCATGGGTACATTACTCCCATATTTTAGGGCCTTTGTGTTTATTCTTCCCTCTGCCTGGAATGTTCTGCCCCAAGAAAGCTACATGGTTTGCTCATTCATCTCCTTCAGGTCTTTGCTTAAATGCTACCTCTTCAGGTAGTATCACTCTGTAGCCTGTTATCCTACTTTATTTTTCTTTGCAGCTGCTATCACTACCTGATAATAAATTATATGTTTGTCTAGTGCCTCTCTCCCCTACTGGAACATAAATTTAATGAGGGTAGGAACCTTGTGCTCTTCACTGATGTATCTGTGGAACTTAGAACGAGGCCTGACACACAGTAGGTACTCAATAAATATCTATTTAATAAGCAAATCAATGGGTGTTAATAGTAGCCACCAAAAACTCCCCAAAATTTTCTTACCAGCTCATCCACCTTCCTTACCTGTGGCCAAAGCCTCAGAAAAGAAGCTTCACTCCACCCTAATGAATTCTAGTTCTAATTCACCCTGTTCTGCCTGACTCCATCCCATTTCAATCACAAGCTGATTGATATGAGGCTAGGTAATAAGCAGATCCAGAGAAAGGAGGACAAGGGAAATGTCATCCTTTTCATCCAGTTTATTTTCCTGACTGGAGAGCAGGGAAATAGGAAATCCATCCAGCCCCACATTTGATCATCTGGTCTCAGGAGTATATGCCTCATCGAGTCACCTTAGCTTTTAAATAAATGTTCTTGCTGCCTCCATCATGTTGGGTTTTTCTGTTTCCTCCAATTTCTTTGGACTCAATCATCCAATGGTAAACTGGTACAGGCCTTTGGGTATTACACAACCAGGCTGGAAGGGGAGGAAGGCCACAAAGAGGACCATCACTGAGAGGCCACTGAGAGGAAATCACAACCACACACAATCAAGCTCCCAAACAAGACCTACAAACTTGGGCTCCTGCTAAAAATCACACATACACGATTAAAAAGAAGCTGTCAGAGGTATGTTCCTTTTCCTTTCCTTTCAAGTGGATTTAATGAGTGTGAAAGGTGACAAAGTGACAGCTCTAATTTCTCTCAGCATCAGAGAAATTAGAAATGGAAATTTCCCAGAAACTGCAGTGCCTGGGAACAGGTTCTTCTCCCTGCTGCTTCCCCAAACTGCTCTAATGTATTGATTATTTCTTAGAAAGATGGTTGACACTTTCACTCATCTGTTTATTTTTCAGGATTTCTGGGAGATGGGGGAAAGGGAGGGGTACTTCAGGAACTCTAGTCCCCAGGGATGGTAACTGAAGTTGAAGGATGGGTCAAGCCTTGATATAATGCAAGGATTCCTGCTCTCTAGCCAGATGCTCTGATTTATTGAGTAGACACCAATTATCTGCATGCCACCAACCGTCCCAATTCCTCTTCAAGGGAGATTAGGTTCTTTAGTTTTCCCCTATGACTCCTCTTTTTCATTTAACAAATGAAGCTGAAATTATCAAGTGGATGCTTTTGACAGCCACCCTGTTTATTCACACATCTGAGAAGCAAGTGGGTGGCAGAACGCATTGCTTCTTTTTCTTGATTTGCAAGGCTTGTCCACAGTAGGCCTCAGCAATCCGGCAGGACCTGTCTCTCTGCTTGTTCAACTTCTTGCGCAGGTGGAATGTGTAAAGAGTGAGCTTGGGCCACCTGTTCTAAGACTCAGTAAGCCATGGAGTGTCCATATACTACTGCTTTCTGAGGGAGACTCCCCCATCCACCTTTAGCCTGATCAGGATTCAAATTTCCCCCCCAAGGTAGTTCACTGTCTTGTTTAGATATAGATTCTTTACTGCAAAAACCAAGTCACTGCAGTATCACAAAGGACAGCAATTGGGCTGTGGGCGGCAGAAGATTGGAGGAGTATGTGGTGCAGCAGTGAAAAGAACACCACACAAGCAATCAGACTAGACTCAAGTTCCAGCTTTGTCACTGACTTGCTGTGTGGCCTTGATCAGGAATAGGCTTCTCTCTGCTTCTCAGTGTTCCACCATCATTACAACGTATATGAGGGTGAGAGTGTACACATGCAAGCATGGTCAGGGTTGTAGAAGGAATCCTCTAAGAGTCCTGGTGACTGTGACATTCTAAAAGTTTTAAGACCAGATAAAGCAAACATGATAGACACTTTAGGCCTGGTCTCTGAAATGTACCCATCAGGCCTTACTGGAGAAAAGGCTTCTTAGGGGCCAATCCCTCTGGAGCTGGCAAGTTTTGCAGTTACCCCAGAGTCTGAAAAGGGAATCATGAGAAATTTTTCTTTTTACTAATTCCTATAGACTAAATGATTGTGTCCCTTCAAAATTCATGTTGAAACCTAATCCCCAATGTGATTGTATTTGAAGGTGAGGCCTTTGAGAGATGATTGGGTCGTGAGGGCAGAGCCATTATAAATGGAATGCGATTAGTACCCTTATAAAAGAGATCCCAAAGAGCTCCCTCATCCCTTCTCTCATGTGAGGACACAACGAGAAGATGGCTGTCTATGAACCAGGACGTGGGCTGTTACCAGACACTGAATCTACTGGCGTCTTTATCTTGAACTTCCAGCATCTAAGATTATGAATCTACGGTATTTTGTTATGGCAGTCTGAATGGACTAAGACACCAACCTAGATGAAGATGGGCTTCACCAGGTGGGTGCAAGGGCTGTGCAAGTTTAGATGAGATTATAGGGCCAATCTATCATGATAAAAAAAGGAGGCAAAAACTGACAGAATTGCCTTTTTGTGTTCCCCAGACAAACACACAGGAAATTCCTTTTGAGATGCCAAGTCTTTATATCATAGCTCAGTGCTATCGAGTTTGGTATTAATAAAGCTCCCTGGGTAGACCTTGGAATTGCAAGTTATCCTTGGTCCCCCACAGACCCTGCTCCAAGGACTGAAGGCCCAGAGCACACAGAGGAATTAGAAGGTCTTCTAGGCATTGGGAAGCGGGGAGATGTTCCAGGGAATAGGAAAACAACTGCTGCTGGGCACCTCCTCTCACAAAGAAGCTTGCTGAGGGGAAAGAAAGAGGCCTGACCAGACACAATTTCAGAGTGCCTTAGAGTTGATGAACTGCTAGAAGTCATTTCATCCAGCCCTCTGCCTCTGATCAGGCAACTGGCCAAAGCAAAGCAGACACAAGGGTAGGAGAATCTATGATTTTCTAGTAAATCTGAGCCAGTACTGGCCTTCTCTTATGAGCAAGACGGTCTCTTTATATAGATTCATTCCTTTCTCTGCATCTCAAAGAATCACTGCTGTTCTACTCTTGTATGGGGACATTATCCTTTAAACAGTACCCCAAAATATTTCAGTGGATCAGCACTGTGGTCTTTTTCAGCTGTCTACACTAAGGAAGAACAGAGGTAGCAGAATAAAAGAAAGATGATTTTTTTTCCTGGACCTTGGTTAAGTAGCTGTTTGTAAGGCTAATGCCTAGTCCCCTTGGAATGGGCTAAACTTCCTGAAATGCTAGATAGATATTACTATCTCTTAATCACAGAAAATAATACCTGAGTTGAGGCCAGTGGAATGGGGAGCTGGCTCTACCTCTACACTGTGACTACAAGGCTTAAGATTGCTGCCCCTTCCTTGGTAGCATGTCCAGCCTCTCCCATCTTGGTTATGTTAGCCTGTGGACTATCAGATTATACAAGCTGGGCCTGAGAGATACATGTGAAATGTTATTACTCCTGGTTCTCTTGGTGGGCACTTAGGAAGGGAAGGCTTTAGTGACTTCAGCCACTCAAGACTTTTTTGAGTTCAGAGAAGCCATGGCTGTTTTCAATGGAATATAAGATTGTCAGGGATTATTTTTAAAAGCAGATGATAAAAACAGAATTTGGTCTGTGGATTTGGCAGAGATGAGGGTTGTGGCCTAGAGTGCACAGGCTTGGATAGATCTAGAGGTGTCGGAGGGAGGTGATCTCACCAACAGGAAAATAAGTATGTTGGCTGTCCTGCACCATTAAGAACAAGAAAACCAACCTTGTATTCTGTATCTGGGAGTAAATTAGTATGTAGTACTTCTTATCCAAGCGTGCATCTAGTGGGGATAAATCCAGGACTTGAAAAAGCTTTAAAAGGCTACATCATCAACCCAATTGTTTCCCGGCAACACCCAGAGAGATGAATCTTTCCTTTCTTAATGAAGTACTGTCACAAAGATTTCTCTAATCTTCTTAGAAAGCTATTCAAGTACCCAATACCTATCATTATCGGGAAGTTTTGCCTTGGGTCTAATCTAAATCCTTCTTGTTATTCTTCAAATCTAATTTCTCTTTGTCCATCCTTGGCTAAGGTCAGAAGCTTTGGACAAGCTATTCAGACTCCCCAAAACCCTTGTTGGTAAAAGTCCTACCTCCCAGTCTAGGACAGAGGCCTGCCACTGGGCAATCTTGTCGATATTTTCCAAACGTCGCTTGCGTTCGTTGATCTGCTGAGTCACATTTCTCATGACAGCCAAAGCAGCTGCCACATATCTGTAGTCACTGTGAAGACACAAGAGTGTAAGTTGGATGAACCAATGCACCAGAGAACCAATGTGCTCAGTGCCAATCCTAATATCCACTCTCCTCTTCCCCCTTAGTAATACGGTCCTGATTTTCAGATGGAAACACATGCTACCTAGAATAAAAAACTACATTTCCCACCCTTTTTTTCAGCAGGGATACCTATTGGATTAAGTGTTGTCCAATAATATGTAAAATAAGTGCTAGGTGGACTTCTGAAAAAATATCCTTTAAGAAAGAAAGCACATCTTTATTGCCTACTCAATCCTGATGCTTAGAATGTGGATATGATGGCTCTAGTAGTCATCTCGGATCATAAGGACAAGGTCCATACCCTAGAGATAGGATAGCAGAATGCCGAAAGGAGCCCAAGTTTCTTATGACCATAGATATCCTACTTGCAGACTTCTTTCACATAAGAGAGAAACAGACCTCTATCTTTTTTACACCACTATTTTTGTGTCCTATCTGACACAACCAGCCAAGGAGAAAGACAGGATGCTCACACATGGCACAATCCAGAGAAACTTCCCATCTATTCCACCATCTATACCTAAGGAGCCTCTGCCCAAAACCACTGTGAAATAACACCCTAACCTTTCCTCCTACACAATATAGAGATATGACACAGTGGTTAAGAATACAGAGTATGAAGCCAGAGTCTATAGGCTCAAACCCCAGTTTTGTCACTGACTAGCTGTGTTGCCTTTGGCAGGTTTCACTCACTCTCTCATTGACTTGGCTTCCTCCTCTATAAAATGGGGAGAATTATAGTAGAATTTATTGAAGGTTTAATAAATTAAATACAATAATCTGTGTAAACTGTTTTACTCTTGGCCCATAATAAATGTCAGCAGTATTATTACCACATATAAACATTTGAGACATCACGGGGGATGCCTCCCCAAACCCCTAGTCCCAGAAATACAACCCTCAGCTAGCTTCCTAAGACTTTGGATAGCCCATGTGTTGAGGGTTCACCATCCTGCCCAGTTTTACCTGCTTGTCTAATCTGATTTCCAACTGAATGGATCCTTTGAAAGACAGATTGAAAGTGAGATCTCAGCCATTCAGTGGAGCTACAATAAACTAAGAAGGCAAAAAAAAAATGCATTACAGTTTAGTTTTAAAACCTTTTCTTGGAGAAGCTGAAAATACCTTACGGTCATTAACCTGCTCTATTTCTCAGAACCAATTAGAAAAAAGAAAGGAGAAAAAGTACAGAAACTGCCTTTTTCTTCAATACAGATGCTATGCAGCACCTCCTTTTAGCTGGGCATCCATCACTCCAGTCTATGCTCTGAACGTTTGCCAGGACCATGGTCCTCAAACATAAAAGCATTTTATCATTTCCAATGACAGGATGCTCACATCTCCTATCCAGTCTATTCTGCCTCAAGACAACTATGTTAGAAAAGGCTTCTTTATTCTGAGCCTCAATGAATATTGGCTACTATCAGTTCTTCTTCTGGATCTCACTGCTGAATCATATTGATCTTATGGCCTACTAACACTTCCTAAGTCTCTCCAAAACATGCTGTCTAGAAGTTGTATCTCTCTCAGCCTGTCCTTGAGCTATTGATTCCTTAGACCTAACTGAAAAAATTATATTTGTTCCTGTTATATTTTACCCTTTACAGTGACTTGCTCCAGCCTAAAGGCGAACTTTGGGGCTCTGTAATATCACCAAAGTTTTTATCTGGCAAGACTGTCTGAGCCTACCATGGTAGAAGCATGGTAGGGTGATGACAGTAGGGGTGGTTGCAGCATAGACACTGCTGACATAAATAAGTACTCCTGGACTTCTGGTCAAGATGGCAGAATAGACTGTCCCTAGTGTCACTCTCTCCCTCAAATCAACCAACTTACAACTATAAAAAAGCAATGACAGGCAACCTGGGGCCACTAGAGCTCAGGGGAAGAGGAGGAGAGACCTACAGATTGCATGAAGGCAGGAGAAGCCATGAGATAAAGAAAAAGCCACTCCAACCATTTCAAATCCTGGCCACTTCCATGCTGGAGCTGCTGAGTGCATGGAGCAGGAGCTGGCAAAAGCTACATCTGTGCCATTTGGGTGAAGTTGCTTGGAGGTGGCAGGGGAGAAGAGGGCCTTGGTGGCCCCCAGGCCAGCAAGAGCACTAATAGGGTTCCTGTGGACCCACATAGCAGTGAAGAGCCACAACAACTGAAAAAAAATGAGCCACTCACAGAAGCTGGTGAGTCATCGCAAGGGACTGAAGCATGGCCCACCCCATGGGAAATGTTTGGAGCACGGGCGGTGGCCAGGGGAAAACAGGGGCACAGCAAGGACAGCTGATCTGCCCCCAGTCAGCGTAGGACCACTCAGAGGAGATTGGTCAGGAATACAGAATTGCATGGGGTGCAGACTGATGAAAAGACTCAGGACCAGACCAGAGTTTCTACACAACCCAGGTGCACCAGATCTCACTAGACCCAGAAGTTCCCATAAAGTCAACTATTAAAACCTGAGCTGCACAAAAAGCCTTGCCTGGGGAATCAGTTACAAAACAGCAATTTAGCTCAACTACAGAGCTCAAGTACTGGTCCTCACAGGAAGTTCTCCCATTTTGGAAGTAACTAAAGGACAACAAATTAGTTCCAGTGCAGAGTTTAAGTGGTGGAAACAGCAAATAATCCAACACAGAACTAGAAGAAAAAACAAAGTACCCACAACCAGAGATGAAGTTTGAGATGAACTAGTAAAAGTCTCATTTCACCAAAGAACACCTATAACACCTAGAAGGACCAGAAGTCCCCTCGCCTACCAAGCCTGAAAGCAGGGAGGGCTGGTGGCCTCAGCCATGACCCCCGACACCCACAACCAGTCCTGAGGGTGGGGGCCGAGAGCCTTGGCCACACACCCCTGACACGTGCAACCACCCCAGTGACTACCACTGAGCCACCGCAGGAAGTGCTCCGGGCTTTCCTAAGCTGTGGCAGTGGGGGGCCAAGGCCCTCTGTCATGCCTTCTTGACATGCACAACCAGCCCAGCGATGACCACCGAGCTGCCACAAGAAGCGCCCTGGGCTCTCCCAAAGCTGGGGTGGTGGGGGGCTGAGGGCCTCAGCCATGCCCCCCAAACCACACAACTAGTCCAGTGATAACCACCAAGCTGCCACAAGAAGCACCCCAGGCTCTCCCAAGCTAGGGTGGTGGAGGGCCAAGGGCTTTGGCCATGCCTCCCTGACACACACAACCAGCCCAATGACAATCCCCAAGCCACAGCAAGAAGGGCTCTGGGTTCCTGAGCTGGAGTTGTGGGGGGCAAGGGCTTTTGCTACACCCCCTTGACATCTGCACCCAGCCTGGCAAAGATCAAGCCACTTGTAGAAGCTGCCTGGTCTCCTCTGTGGGAATGAGGAGGGTGGCACAGGCCTCAATTCGCCCCTCCTCCTTCCTTCTTCCATCCTATTTCCTTCCCATTTCCCCTCTCCTCCTCCCTCCCAACTGCTCCACAACAACATCATAGAATGTAAAAAAAAAATAACAATATTAATAAAATAAATAAATAAGTACTCCTGCTCTTTGGGCCCATTTTCTGTTACCTGTGCCTTTCCTTCCTCTGATTTGAGGGCATCAGTGCTTTAAGCCACTTTATGAGAAGCATAGACCTGTACTGTCTAATAATGGTAGCCACTAGCCACATCTAATTAAAATTAAATAATATTAAAAATTTAGTTCCTCAGTTGCACTAGCTACATTTCTCAGTACTCAAATCACATATGGTCATTGACTACTGTACTAGACAGCACAGATACAGAACATTTACACCACTGCAGAAAATTCTACTGGAGAGTGCTGGCAGGAGAATGCTCATTACCTCTGCCTGACTCCAAGTATTGCCCACCTGTGGATTCATCACTGCCACTATCCCATACTATTTTTGCCATTTTTCACTGGCTGTCTTTTTCACAATGGCTAGAACAGTAATGTCCCCATCTCTAACCTGTCCCACTAGCTTTAGAGGTGGGTGAGAGAATAAGAAAATAGCTGTGGTCCAGTCTGAATGCAGGTCAGAGCCCTTAGGCCCTCAGATGAGGTCTGGGCCCACCCCCTATTGAAGAGTGACAGAACTAAGATTTTCTAGTTTCTGACATGTCAGCCAACCTCCTTCTTATATACAGTCTTACTTCTTGCTAGCTTAAGGAAGGTGAGGTGCGGGAAGTACGTCACCCTTCTATAAGCAAAGGCAGTATTAGTCTCCATTTGTCACTCTCTGTAGTGGATTGAATTATGTACCCCCAAAACTCACTGAAGCTTTAATTGTATCCCCCACATTTTTATGTATTAGAAACTTAGCCCCCACTGTGATTGTTAAGAAAGTGGGAAATCCTATTATGGTAATTGAAAGGTGGAGCCTTGAAGAGGTGATTGGATTGTAGGGCAGTGCAGTAGTGAATGGATTAAAAATGGTGATCAGGGGCGTGGTTCCGAGGGCTTTAAAAGAAGAGGAGAGTCTGTCTTGCTCTCTCTGCTCTCTCTGCTTCCACCATCTCAGAATGTGAGACCCCTGGGTCACTGTCGCCACCACCGAGCTGCCACTTTGGACTTCCCAGCCTCAGAAACCATAAGCAATAAATTTAATTTTCTTATAAATTACCCAGTTCCAAGTATTTTGTTAGAAGCAACCTAAATGGACTAATACACTCTCCATCTAATCTTCTTTTTCAGAGGCCACTCTAATTGTATTTCAAGCTACCTATCTGAACACCTATCTGACTAAGCCTCTAAACTAGCAGCAGCCTCTAATTGCTTTCAAATCCAAGCTGCTCTTGACATGCATGGGCAGCAGCTGTCATTATTAATACAGCTTCCTGAGGCCTCCCAAGTAGGGTTGCTCATGTCCTGTGGTAGTGCTGGGCCCAGCAGGTCACCCTGAAGAAGGATAGGGATTGATGTAGCCTGCTACTGCCTGAACTACTTTCTCAGCACTCAGAAGTCCGGGGGTGGGAGGCGAGGGGAACAGGGACCCATAGAACAAAAGGGTTTTGAGGTAAGGTATCTAGCTGCAAGGTTAAGGAGCACCAAAATGGCAAATCCTAGGCAGATATTCTATCTTGCTGGCTCCCACCAAACCCAGCAATGCCCTGGAGTTGCTTTGGCCAAAGAAACTAACATAGCTTTGGGTTGTGCTTGAAAGATGGCCTTTCTGGGACTCTTAAGGTCAATTATACAATAAGTAATTTACCTAGTGAATATTATCAGTCCACAAGTATGATTTTTAGAGCCTCCTGCTAGGTTCCACAGAATGGATACTCAGGAAGTAGGTAGGTGAGAAGATGTAATACAGATATTTAAGAACCACTCTGAATATCCAGGTTTTAAAGGCAAAGGTCTGAAGGCTGCTCAATTGAGATTTAGGTTAAAAAGTCACTGCTTCTGGTCACTTAGTACCATGGAGTACAACTGTGGAGGTCATTTAGGATCATGGCAACATGGGCTGGCAGAACTGGAAAAGGCCTTCCAGACTGGGTACTACATTGACTCACAAACCTTCCTGAGCACAAAAATTATCTGAAGAACTCAAGTAGCCAGATTCCCAGACCACTGCTTATGCTTTGTGTCCCTGCTTCACCAAAGACTGTCTCTGTGTTATTTATTTTTCTGAGCCTCAATCTTTCCAGCCACAGAATGACAAATCTGACTAGAAGGGAGAGCCTTTCCATTCTAGGTACCATTTCTATTTTTCATTTTCAAATATTTTAATTTTAGTGGGGATTCTTCAATGTTACTAGCCCTCACAAAATATGTTATGCTTAGAAAACTTGTAACTCAGTCCTGGCAATGGGCTATATCAAGTCTGTTCAAGTAGGACTTAGTCACCTCCAAATTTCATGTCTAATAAGCACCCCCAATCCTGCTCCACCTAGTAAACTGCCACAGGGAGAAGGGAGTAGAGTCCTCCTTTGCAAGATCCTACTCTACTTGCCTCCTTCACAGTCAACAGGGCGTGGAGGCAGAGCTATTACTGGCCTTGTTACTCACATAAAAAGAGAATCCAGTGCCATGACATTTAGGTTAAAATCTGAAATCCACCTAGGACTCCAGAGCCACTAAAGCACATGACCCATGATTTGCTAAAGAAGAAACATCAACTCAAAAATGAGCCCGGGGATTGGCCTAGAAGCTCAACATAAACCAAACCAGCTGGTGCACACTCATGACCTTAGGCACCTAGGTCTGAAAGTCAGCCCAAGGACACCAGGCAACAGAGCCAAATGAAAGTAGGAAGCAGGCCTAATAAGAATCAGGCAGAAAGCTAAGGGAAATTGGACAAAGGCCTTCTTTCTTCTTGGAGTGCTCATTCTGAGGAAGAGAGCTGAGAGTTGGGCCAACAAATCTAAAGTCAGGGATTTAACACCAATTAAAGGCAGGCTAAAAACAGGCTGGCGGCTCTAGGTCATGAGGTAAGGCATGTGAAAGAGTGGGGATGGTTCACTGTAGGCCTTCTCCATTATGGGAGATTACTCCCAGTATGTGCCTTACTAGTAGATGAGGAGCATCATTTCCATTCAGAGAGGGATAAGCTATGTTATCCTTGTCAGGTTAGTTTTCTTGAAAATACTTTAAAACTTTGAAAAAACATTAGGGGAAGTCTCAAGTCTATTTTCCCCAGCCCATACTCTGGGTCTATGTGAAAGGTACAGTTGTGGTGGGGCAGAGGAAGGTAGAAAAAGCTAAAGATGACTAGGGATGTGGCCTGACAGAAGGAACCTAGGGTCAGTACAAGTTGGACAGGCTGTCACCAGTACATTTGAATCTATCAGAGTGGGATATACAGTTGAACAATTATTGCATCAGGGTTGATTCATTTGGCTGAGCTCAGTACTAAGGACCAAGCTATAAACTCCCTGAAGGTAGGATCCAAGCTGTGTAATAATGATGATGCATACATATTTACAACTTTACAAGCAACTCTCGAAAGCATTACCTCACTTACACAGGATAGCCTCTGAGGTAAGCAAGAATGCATCATGCTATTTAGCAGAAAAGATAACAGAATCTCAGAAATGGCAAAAGGATATATATTCTCAACAAGGATCAATATGTAGAAGAAGCTCCCTCCCTCACTCTACGTCTCTCAGTCCCTTACCTGTGGTCTTGGGCAGTATACTTGAGGAGCTCGGCCAACTGTAAGGGATACTTGCAGATCTTCTGCACAGGAGTCAAAAGAAAACCATCAATAGCAATGTCAATCATCTGCTGCAAGAGGCGACAGGCCTCAAAGAAGTGCTGGTAGCGGCTGTCCTTCATCAGCTTGGAGAGCTCCATGCAGGCATCCAGATGGTTGTTACAATACTCAGAGTATATCCAGAATCCATCTTGCTGTGGGCAGAGGAAAAAAGGAAAAAGAAAGGCTGCTGAGGACCCCAAAAGAAGTCATAAAGTAATAGAAACGCAGATCATATACTTATGCAGGAATATTAAAATGATAACAATGTCAATTATTCTTAAATTGATTCATAATATAATAGTAAAAATAGCAAAATAAATTATTTGGTAACTAGACAAATTGATTATAAAGTTCATATAGAAAAAAAGAATAAGTAGGAACAGTAAGGAAATTCTGGGAAAGAAGGGTAATGAGGAGAGACTGGCCCTAACAAGAGTAAAACACAGCATGGGTATAAAACTCTGGTACTGAGTCATAAGAAGAGATAGATCAGAGATTCTACTTTTGGCAATGACAGACTAAGTTGTTTTAGGCAAATCCTGCCATGGAGAACAGCCAGAAAAGCTGAAAAAAATTATAAGTATCTTTGAAGGAATCACATCATCCAGAGCCTCAAATTATCTCCATAAAATATCCCTTAGGAAACACACCTTGAAGTATTTAGGGGTAAAAAGACCAGGATATGTGCAAGTTAAACACTAATGAATGAGGGGGAAAAAAAACTATAGATATATGTGTGTGTGTGTGTGTGTGTGTGTATGAGTGTGTGTATGTATGTAAGAATGTATTTATACATAAATATGCATATAAAGAGAGGGGGAAAAAGGAGAGAGTCAGGAAAGAAAGGAAGACCATGCTCAAATTATAAAACAAAAGTGGTAAAATGTTAACAGGTGAATTTGAGTAAATGGTGTATGGGTATTCTTTGTACTGGAACTGGATATCCATACAGAAACAAATTAACCTTGACTCTTATTTTAGACCATGCATAAAAATTACTTCAAAAGGGATCATAAGCCTAAATGTAAGAAATAAAACTATACAACTTCTATAAAAAAAAAAAAGGAAAAAATCTTTGTGACCTTGGGTTAGGCAAAGATTTCTTAAGTAGGACACAAGAAGTGTGAACCATAAAGAAAAAGTGCTAAACTGGATTTCAACAAAATTTAAAGTTTATGCTTTTCAAAAGACACTTAAGAAAATTAAAGGCTAAGCCACAGACTGGGATAAAATATTTGTAAATAACATATCTGAAAAAGGACTTGTAAACAGAATATATAAACAACTCTCAAAACTAAACAATAAGAAAACAAATAACCTACTTAAAAATGGGCAAAAGACATGGACAGACACTTCAAAGATTTTATACAGATGGCAATAAACACATGAAAAACATGCTCGACATCATTATACATTAGGAAATGCAAATTATAACCACAGTGAGATGCCACTACACACCTATTCAAATGGCTAAAATAAAAAATACCAATAATATCAAGTGCTAATGACCATGTGGGGCAACGAGAACTCATATACTAGTAGTGAGAATGCAAAATGTATAGCAACTTTAGAAAACAATTTGACATTATCTTATATAAGTTAAAGAAACATCTACTATGAAACCCAGCAATCCTAACCCTAGGTATTTACCCAAGAAAAATTATAACATATATTCTCAAAAAATCTTATACTAGAATGTTCATAAAAGCTTTATTCATAACAGCTCAAAACTGGAAACAACCTAGATGTACATTAATTGGTGAATGGGTGGTATATCCGTACAAAGGAGTACTACTAAGGAATGAAAAAGAAACAACTACCAACACGTACAACATGGATCAAAGGCATTAGGTTAAATGAAAGAAGCTAAACACAAAAGATTACCTACTATATGATTCCATTTATATGGCATTCTAGAAAAAACAAAATTATGATAACAAAAAGCAGATCAGTGTTTTCCAGGCGCCAGGGGTTGGCGCAGAGATTGACTGCAAAGGGAGAATGAGAGAACTTTATATACTGATAGAAATGTTCTATATCTTGATTATGATGGTGGTTACACAAGTATATACATTTGTTAAAACTCATCAAAACATACACTAAAAATTGGTGAATCTTATTCAATATAAATTACACCTAAATAAAGCTGATAGAAAATGAAATCCTAGAACTAATAAAAGGTTAAACAATCTAATTTTTTTAAAAAGGCAGAATAATACATTAAAAAGGATAATATACAGTTATTAGGTGAAATTTATCCCAGTAATGCAATGTTCATTTAACATAAGAAAATCATTAAATCCAAATTCACCACATTAACAGATTGAAGGGTAAAAGTATATGATCATTTCAATATAACAGAGGTTTTTTTTTGTTTCCTAGGGGACACGTGACAATGTCTGAAGACATTTTCATTGTCACAACAGGTGACATACCTCCCCCAGGTGGGGCGGCGGAGGTGCTACTGGCATCTAACAGGTAGAGAAAACCAGGAATGCTGTTCAATGCACAAGGCAGCCCCCAGTTGAGAACCACTGTTCCATATTCTACCTTCCACACTCCACACTGTGATATTTTTATGTTGCTATAAGGTACATACATCTAGTCTGCTGTTTCTTGCTACATAATACCCTACAATAAGCTTTCTCCATGTTTATTATCCACTTATTCATCTCCCTAGTGATAAATTCCTAAGTTGCTTCTAACTATACTCTACCACACAAAACACTGCCATACAATCAACAGCCTTGTACATGCTCCCTCATGGACCTCTGTGAGAATTTCTCTCAGATATACATTCAGGAATGGAACCATTAGGTCACAGACATGCTTAGTTAGCTTTTATAAATACTGCCCACATGCTTTGTGGAATGGCTGAATCACTTTACATATCATGCAGAAAAGAGTTATCATATCAGACTAGAGACTGCTATCTTTAGAAAGCCCTACTTAAAGGGCTTGACTGCCATCCTGGAACTTGGATCTCAAGAGGGTTCCCCACAATTCCCTAATAAGAATGACTCAATGTGCCTACACACACAATGTGGTTTATGCCAAACACTTGCTTTCCTTCTGGGGGTCTGGAATTTTGGTACATGCTAGGCAGAGGGTTCCTACATGACCAGCCCTCCATAAAAACCCTGGGCACTGAGTCTCTAATGGGTTTCCCTAGCAGATAACATTTCACATATGTTGTCACAACTTATTCCTAAGTGATTTAAGAGTATTCTGTGTCTCCACTGGGACAAGACTCTTAGAAGTCTGCATCTGATTTTCTCTGGACTTTGTCCCAATGTACCTTTTCCTTTTGCTGATTTTGCTTTGAATCCTCTCACTATGATAAATGATAGCCATGAGTATAACTACATGCTGAATCCTGTGAGTCCTCCTAGCAAATTGTTGAACACAGAGTGGTCTTAAAGACTGCCCCCACCCCCCAAAACACATTCCCATAAGAAGAGCAGGAAAATTTCCAAGAGGACTTACTTTTAGCTGCACACTTTTGCGTATCATTTGAATTTTGTATCATGCGCATGTATTACCTCTTTAAAAAAATACTTTATATAAAAGGGGTGAGAAGGGTTGTCAAAACAACTAGGTTGCCTGCGAATGAGACTCAAAAGATGTTAGAGAACCACAGATGTCATATACTGAAACCTTCTCAATAGTCTAAATGAAAAAACTGAAGCCCAAAGTGGGTAAGGAAATTTCCCAAAGTTACCCAAATAGTCACTACAGACACGGGACTCAAATCCTCACTGTCCTGTCTCCTAGTGCTCCTTCTCTAAGTCCACGGCCCCTTTTCCTACACTTGTCACGTCCCCTACCCCAGTGCTCTACCCTAAATGCCTGGCAGAGGCCTACTTCTCACTAACTGTGGTCCCTCCTATTTCTCAGAATCCTGGATTCTCCATGCAATGAATATGTTGAGTTCCTCCCAAAACACTGGGTCTCATGGAAACTGAACCCAACAGGAACAGAAAAGAGAAGCTAAAGAAATCTCGTACTGGTAACTGTCTGGAAGGAGAGGAAGAGGGGAGGGGAATGGTAAAGGAAGAAAAACCTAGGATATATCATAGCACCTTCCTAAGTCCTCATACCCTGGCCAGAGACCAGAGGTCAAAATCAAGGCCAGAGAAGAATCCATTCCCCACCACAGGACAAAGCAGAACAGAACCAGACAGCTCAGATACTCCTTCTGTTGCTTCCTAACGTCTCTCAAAACCCTCCCCAATTTCTCTCAACAGTGGTTTGTAGTTCTAATTGTAGAGATTTTTCATATCCTTGTTAACTTTATTCCTAAGTATTGTATTTTTTTGGTGTCTATTGTAAATGGGCTAGCTTTCTTGATTTCTTTTTCTGCATGTTCGCTGTTGGACTATAGAAATGCCACCGATTTTTGTGTGTTGATTTTGTATCCTGCAACTTTGCTGAAATCATTTATCAAATCTAAGAGTTTTTTTGTAGCTTTAGGCTGTTTGATATATAGGATCATGTCATCTGCAAAGAGGGACAGGTTGACTTCATCTTTTGCAATCTGGATGCCCTTCATTTCCTTCCCTTCTCTGATTGCTCTGGCTAGTACTTCCAACACTATGTTGAATAGGAGTGGTGAGAGTGGGCATCCTTGTCTAGTTCCTGTTCTTAAAGAAAAAGCTTTCAGCTTTTCACCATTCAGGATGATATTGGCAGTGGGCTTATCATACATGGCTTTAATTATGTTGAGATACTTTCCATCTACAATCACAATTCCTTGAATTTGTTAAGACAAGTGAACACATATGATGTTGATGGGTGGGAGGTGGGAGAGAAGAACTGGTAAAGGGACATGAAAATCAACTACATTGTATACTGATAAGATAAAATAAAACAGACCCTCAAAAAAAAATCCTCCCCAAAAGGATAGAATGCTTACGTGCTCTAGGAAGCAGGGTCCTATCTCACTGAGGTGGGGGTCATCATTGTTGTACTGTTTCTCCAGGTCTCTCACGAAGCCCATCTGAAACCTGTAGATGTCTTCAATGTTCCCAAAGATTACCTTCAGCTGTTCATCACTGAACATGTCTCTTCTTTTCCGGCACTGCTTCAGGTAGCCCTGCAGACAAAGGAAAAGCCCTGGCTAAGGATGTTCACTACTCCCAGAGGACTTTACCACTTCCTAAACACTTGGGAGCTGCACTTCAGTTCCATAAAGTAGGCAGAAAATAATCATTTCCATTTTTCATATGAGGGAACTGAGGTTTAGAGAAGGAAGCCACTCTACCAGTGAGTAATTAGGAAAACTGGATCTCCAGAAAAGTTCTTCAGATTGCAAAGACTCCAGAGTGTAGGGCTTTTTCCACCCTTCTGTATGACAAGGACCCCAAAAGTCAAAGGGCTCTTTCCCAGAAGCTGCTTGAATACAAGCATTTTCACTTGTTTTTGTAGCTATTGATTTAGCTGGGTCCATTCACATCTCTAAAGTTCTATTCCTTATAGGACCAGCCCAAAAGGTCGTAATAACATTGACAATAATTTGGCAACAGAGGCCAGGGCAGGAAAACTTCCCATAAGGGAACAGGAATTGGCTTCTGGTCAAGATGGCAGAATAGATGGTCACCAGCATCACTCTCTCCCACAAATCAAACAATTTACAACTATTAAAAAGCAATGACAGCCAAGCTGGGGCCACTAAAGATCAGGGGAAGAGAAGGAGAGATCTATGGAGTGCATGAAGACAGGAGAAGCCACAACAAGAGAAAGAAAGAACCACTCAATCTTTTCAAGCCCCAGCCGCTTCAAGGCTGGAGCTGCTGAGTGCACAGAGCAGGAGCTGGCAAAAGCTGCAGCTGTGCCCTTTGGATGAAGTTGCTTGGAGACTGCAGGGGAGAAGAGGGCCTTGGTTGCCCCCAGGCCAACAAGACCACTAATAGGGTTCCTGTGGACCCACACAGAAGTGAGGAGCGACAACAACTCTAAAAAAGGAGCCACTCAGAGGCCGGTGAGTCATCACCAGGGACGGGTGCATGGCCTGTCCCATGGGAAGTGTTTGGAGTGTGGGCGGTGGGGGAGACGGGCCCACTGGGGCATAGCAAGGATAGCTGATCTGCCCCCCAATCAGTGCAGGACCACTCAGTGGAGACTGGTCAGGAACATAGAACTGCTGGGAGTGCAATTTGCCAAAAAGACTCAGGCCTGGAACAGAGCTTCTACACAACCCAGGTGTACTGGATTTCAGGAGAGTCAGAGGTACCTATAAAGTCAACCATTAAGACCTGAGCTGCACAAAAAGCCTTCCCCAGGGAATCAGCAGCAAAACAACAATTTAGCTCAACCACAGAGCTCAAGTGCTGGTCCCTACAGGAAGTTCCCCCATTTTAGAAGTAAGCAAAGGACAACAAATTAGTTCCAGTGCAGAGTTTAAGTGGTAGGAACAGCAAATAATCCAACACAGAACTGGAAGTAAAAACAAAATACCCACAGACCAGGGAACAGGAATTGACAAAATACCAAACCATTTCTTAAAGCAAATGTCTCAGCTATCTAAGGTAGCTGGCCAGAAGAGATCATTTGGATAAGCTCAGCCAGCCAGTCAGCCAGCATGAGTGCCTGGACATGGTATTTCTAACCAGGTAGGTGTTTAGGACACATTTGTGAATAAACGGATGAATTAATACAGCTAGCCACTGATGAAAGAGAAGAAGGCATACAAAGATTCTAGGTCTGATAAGACAGCACTGAGGTCACATAGCCAAACTCAGAACACACTAAGTCTGGGCAAAAAAAGCCATAATCTAACCTAGGTCTTCCATTCTAAACCTACTGGTGTGGATTTTTAAAATGATGGTTACTGTCCTCATTAGAAATCATTAGCATGTAAAAATGTTCTCAGTGAGAATGAATTACAGTCACTTTCTTTCATATAAAAGCTAAGTGCAGTTTTTTTTTTTCCTTTTTTGTCTTTTTTTTCGTGACTGGCAACGGATTGCAACCCTCAGTGTCGCGCCCGTACCGGACCGGGACCGGCAACGGGATCACAACCCTCCGTGTTGCGCCCGCATCTCGCTCAGCCAGTGAGCCGCCAGTCTGTATGTGGGATCCGAACCCTCGGCGGGAGCGCCACTGCACTCCCAAGCGGTGCACTGTAGCAGTGCGCCACCGGGCCAGCCCCATAAGTGCAGTTTTCTTAATACCTTTCTTAAGTGTTGAGCCCCTGATGAGGAGTGTTGTAGTGACTGATTTACTACCACATGTGGTCCTGTCACTACCCTCACTTTGTCTCCCCTAACACAGCTGCCAATGAAGTCATTGGGGCATACTCCAAGAAGATCCTCATCCCTGCCTTCAATGTCCTTTACCAACCCTCACCCCAATTTCACTTCCCTTATCTCTCATCCCCCTACAATTCAACCATTAATTAGTAGACGCCCCATAACAGTTTGCAAATTAATAGTCTGTGCCTATGTTGACATCTATTTAACTAATGCTCTGCCCTCATTGCCTGGCATGCTCAAGATTTCCTGCATTCTTTCTGTTGGGAAAAAATAGGAAAATGGTCAGGGACCCTCAGATGTTTAGAATCTTGCTGAGTATTTGCTGTAAATATCCTCAGGTGTTCCTTGTTACTACTTAATGTAATTGCATATGGGCACCCAGGTGTCCAGGGTTATGGACTTACCTATAAAAGACTAAGAGCTCTGATCCACAGTGCTTCTCAGAACTCTCAGAGAAGACACTAGGCCAGTTGTTTGTAGATCTGAATAAAACCCATTCATTTTTCTATATCCATGGCTCTCAGGACCTTTATTTTTTCTATTACCTAGCTCACAGACCTGCGTGTGGAGGATTTGTGACCCAGTCTGTGCAACAAACTTGAGGGGTCTGTAAGCCCTAGCTTTACACTTTCATATCCAACTCTTGAATAGGAAGAAAATGTCCTCTATTCACAGAATATCATTTTGGCTCCACTCCTTTCACTGAAGTAGCTCCCCTAATTCTATCTCCCCAAAAGGCTTTCCTTGGCTAATAGTGAGAGAGGCAATAAACTCCTGTAGGTCCCTCCTTGCCTAATATGTAACTCTCAGGGCTTGGTCCATCTATGTGTCTGTTTCTCACACACACACCCTACCACCTATGGAAGTGTCTTAGCTACAACGGAGCAGGGAGAGCAGTGAGTATATCATCTCAATATTAAGTGGGAAACAGGCTTCCTCACCCCACTCCTACTTTTTCTCCCTACAGTAGGTCTGGGCACAAAGCTGGGGGGAAAACTTGGTAACAATGTCACATTCAGTGTGTCACTTTTGAGTAAACAGTAGGTACTGGTTAGTCACCACACTGGGAGAGAAAAGAAGCCAGCCTGGACAGCTCATTCATCCCCTAGGAAGCCAGTTCAGGAAATAATAGTTTTATCCACTGCTCCCATTTGAAAGGTCTTAGGGAAGGAACCAAACACCATGATATTCCCAAAATGCAACAAGGATGCTAAAGCTCAACTTCATCATGGAATGTTACAGAAATGAAAAAGGAAAAAGTGGTCCCTGGGAAAGAGAATAGATGGAGATGTCAGTCCAGCTTCCTAATTCCCCAAATATGCTGTTCATTGCCATTGTAAAGGAAATCATTTTCTATTAGATTATGTATGTTAATTAAGCTATATATTAGGAAGAATGTAACTGCCCACAGGATGATGGAACCCTAGAGTGTTTTATCAACCATTGTTTTTAAAGCTAATGCTAGACTGTAAATAAATATTCTGGTACACTTAACTCAATGGAATATTATACAGCCATTAAAATGATTAGGAAGACTGTGTAGAAACATGGAAATGTGTTTGGATATAATGTTAAAAAGCAGGACATGAAATAATATATCACTATGATTACAACTCTAAATACATATACATAGAGACAGATTTGAAGGAATTATGCAAAAGTGCAAACAATTCTGTTATATTTGGTAGATTCTGATTGATTTTGTTCCTATTTTATAAGCCTCTTCTAATGCTATTTTTTAAATTGTCCTCATGATTAAAAATGGGAAAAAAGTCTTTGCCAGAGAGCATAAACAAAAGAAAATACAGCTACAGGAAGGTAGCCTTGAGTGCAATATTATCAAGGAAATGCGGTGGGGGGAATCCAATGTCTTCTCAAAATCTCCTCTAGCCATAGTGTTTAAGATGCATGACTTGCTGAAAGGATTACAAATAATAGATAGAAATTGCCCTTATCAAGGAAATAAGGGGTGGGACATAAGAATATGAGAGTAGCTGGAGAACCCCAAAATGTCACCTTTAACCCCTATATCACACAACTACCTAGGCTTCTGGGAGAAGAAAAGCCATGAGAGATGACGAGTTCCCTGGAGTCTTGCTTTTTTGCATTATCTCCTTCTCTTGACTGGCCTGATGACTATCAAATTTTCCACATTAGTGATGAACAGAGGTTTGGCTTAGGGGTCAGTCAATACTTGGCTCTTTGCATTCACTCACTTTTGAGGGTATGTGAGTTTAAAATGAGCTGGCAGCAAAATGTGACTGCCAAAAAACCTAATGCTATTTTAAGTTAGAAAAAAAGAAAAGAAACAGATTGAGAGGTAATTGGAAGGTAGTCTCACCACTGCAGGAGTGCATCATTCAATTCTGAGCCCTTCCACCTGCTCTTTTCAGAGGAACATCAAGAAAATAGTACACAGCCAGAGAGGAATGATCAGGGTAGGGAGGAGCCTGCAAAACATCGCCATAAAAAACGGTGGAAGGAATCAAGTCTGTTTGTTCTGGAGAAGACTTAGGGGCCCTCTGAAGGCCTGTCACAAGGCAGAGCAAACAGGAGTCTGTAGTTCTTACTGTTAGGCATGCTTCAAACACCCTCCGACCCCAACTAAATAGTAAGACAGAATAGGGTGCTATGGCACTAGGTGTGAACTGATTCAAAGAGGCAGTTTCTCAGAGCCTCACCTCTGCCTCCTAGAAGTAAAGTGGGCATGGGTGGGAAGACAGCCACAGAATAGCTAAGAGTACTGTGTGTGTTATCAAATCTGTCCCAATTGGCATGAATCAGCCCTGGCACTGCTATGATAACAGCCAAGGAAGGTTGCCCATCCATTTCACTTTGTTCTTAAACCCACAAAGACTGATCTAGAAGTCTAGATCCAGTGCATTAATCTATAAGTACTGCCTTCATATGGGATATAAATCATAGCCAAGATCTCCAGGGAAGATCCTAAAGACTGCTAGGAAATAGGATGGATCAAAGAGCCTCTGGATCACCTAAGGTTTGGGGAACCCTTTAGGGACGGGCCCTACAAGTCTAGACTTGAGTGTCTCCATCTCTAAAATGAAGACATCAGAAAAAACTTCCACAGCCCCTTTCAGCTCAGACTTTCTAGGGGTTTCATATAATTTTTTTGCCTGGAAGCCTGAGGTCTGACAGGAGATCTGACTGACATCTTGAAGATGATTTTAAGAAAATTAAGGGATAATGATCATAGTTGTCTTATTCACAGCTGTATCCTTAAGTTTAGTACAATACCTGGCATATAGTTGCTGCTCAGTAAATATTTGTTGAATAAATGCAAAATGACTAGCTCTTATTAAACTAATGATGACAAAAGTTAAGTTAGAAGAAGGATGTTCAAACTGGTGGTTTTCTTTTTTTTCCTTCTTCCACTTTTTGGTCCAGGAAACCATTTCTTCAAATAAAATAAAACCGTAAACAAACAAAAGAGTAGGATGACTGGAAAAAGATATTTGCAACAGGGAAAACAGACAAGAATTAATATCTGAAATACACAAAGAACTCCTGTAAATCAACAAGAAAAATATGAGAAACTACAGTAAAAGGGGCAAAAGATAGGAACAGGACCTGGAGTGTCCAGGTGGTATACACAGGTAGGGCCTAGGGCAGGCAGAAATCCCTGGCTGGTCATTTTAGGCTGACTAGCTGCCTCATCCTTTGCTTTAGTATACTATACAAGTATTACCATTTTATACAATTTATCATTTTCTATGTGTTCTGAGATGCAAAGACAATTGGGAAGTACAGGGATAGGTAATTCACATAAAGGGAAAATGAAATGGCTAATAAGTTAAAAAAAAAAAAAAAAAAAACCCAGGCTTAAACATATCAAATGGAAGTGACTTGAAGCAACAGCATGATAAGCTTGATTAGACCTAAGAAATAATTTCTTGATGATGAAGGATATGAGACACTAAGACAGATGACTGAGAAAAGCTAGGGCAGCTTCTCTGGAGACATATGAGGACGGAATTTTTTTCCCAGATATGGGATGACTAAGACTGCCTTCCTCAAGAGAGACAGACAAGACAGCTTTATAAAGCATCTTTAGCTCTGCTTGCCCTGTGCCTCAGTTTCCCTAATTGTAATATGCGTTTCTAAGGTTACAAGAGGCAATACCACCAATTGTTGGTCAAGGTGGTCTAGAACTAAATCAAGGACTGTGTGGATTTAGAAAGAAGAATGTGGTCTTCTGCAGAGAACTCATTAAAAAAGATCTTTTCTCTTACTGATCTCATTGAACAACTTTAATAAAAATCACTTTATTTCCTATTTCTTCAGTTGTAAAATGAAGGTGTTGTGGCTTAAATGTTTGTAAAGCACTTTCTGCTCCCAGGAGTAAAAAATAAAATAAAATAAAATAAAAAAGATTCTCTATTCTCTAATAGATGTGTGACTTTTTTCTATACTGAATACAGTGTCCCCGTTTCTCCTTCAACAAGTATAAGTATAAGAGTGAGAAGTGTTTAGAGCTCTCCCTTAACCTACAGAAAGGGTAGATTATGCCATGTTAACACATTCATCCTTGAGTAAGACATGCCTCCATGGGTACCAAGGAGGGAGAGGGAGAAAATGCAGAAGTAACCTGGCTCACTACCACAGCTCTCACTAATGAGGGCATATCTACATCTTACAGAACCAGAGAAAGTAACAGCCAGGCATCACTTAAAAGCATCATCCAAATGAAATGGGGGACAAGGCCTAGGGAGGAAAAGACTTGCCTGAGGTTCCCTAGCCAGTCAGTGACCAACGTGGGACCTGGACCTGGGACTCCCAATTCTAAGTCTGGTATTCTTTCTGATAAACCATTTGCTCATCATAGCTGCTAGTTTAGAGGTAACACAACCCTGGACTTCTGGCCCAGATACACACTTCTGGCTCAGCTACACACAGCTTTCTCCATCTCCCTTTGACATCTGTGGTTGCAGGATGGGACAAAGAGGTAGTACCCACTTAAACTCTTAATTTCAGCAAAAAGAACAGTGGAAAAATAAGGAATCAGCAGATCAGATCACCAAGCTCTGACTGACTTGGCAGGATTGAGCAAGTTCTCAAATCAGGATCAGAGCACTTCCCCTTCTGGAAAGACAAGTACTTCCATTGCTGTCCTGCAGGAAGAGGCTAGGATGTTTGGGAGCTGGGAAGAGATGATCCTTCTAAGACTAAAGGACTCCCACTGGGCCAGTGCCTGGGAACTCTGGGAAAATAATTTTGCTTTTTAGAGGCTCAGTCTGTTGATTTAGAAAATAGGAATAACAATAACAACCTCTGCCCTTTGTGGAGATTAAGTGACATAAAATGTGAATGTACTTTGCCAAAGTCATATGTGTGTGAGAAATTATATTTAATTCTAACTTTAAGCAATATTTATTGAGCATCTACTATGTGCCAGGCATTGTACTAGAAGGATACATCAGTAAATCAACAGATAAAAATCCTTGCTCCCCATGGAATTTACATTCTAGTAGGGGAGATAGACAATAAACAAAATATGTAGATAAAATACATAATATGTCAGAGAGTGGTAGGTGTAATAGAGAAAAACAAAGCAGAGAAGGAGGAGAGGCAGTGCAAGGTTACGATTTTAAGTAGAATGGTCAGGGAAGTCTCAAGGAGAATATAATATTTGAGCAAAGACTTGGAGGTGAGAAAGAAAGCCATGTAGACATCTGGGGAGGAGTGCTTTAGCCAGAAGGAAAGACCAGTGAAAAGGCTCTGAGAGGGGAAGATGTCAGCCATATTGAAGGAACAGCAGAAGCCAGTGTGGCTGAAGTAGTGAGAGCACAGGGGAAAGATCAGGAGATGAAGTCACAGAAGTAAGTAGGTATTGACCACACAGGGCCTCATAAGTAATAATGAGAAAGTTGGCTTTTACTCAGGAAGAAATGGTGAGCCATTGGAAAGTTTTGAGCAGAGGAGTAATATGACCTGACTCAGGACTTGAGAGGATCCCTCAGCTACCAAGTGAAGTACAGACTGTACTTACTTTTATTATAGACCCTTTGACACTGTAATATGGCTATCATTTTGTAGCAATGCTCCTCCAGCTTTAATTAGTGACTAAATTAGGATGTGAAAACCAATACTTCATGTCCCGAGTTCCCTTGTTCTTTTCATCCTATCTTACAGCCTTATAAAGGGGGATATAATCTTTAACCTTCCTAGGAGGGGTGAAAAAATGAGATGAGTTGAAGAAAGTTAAGGTCCACAGTCCTTGGCCTTGGTCTTTCCAGAGCTGCACTGTTTAATGTGGTTGCCATCAGTTACATGATTTAAAGATTTAAGATTTAAAATTCCATTTTTCAGTCACAAGCATTTGAAATGCTCAAGCATTTGAAATGCTCAACAGCCATAAATGGCTGGCTAGTGGCTACTATATTGAAAAGTGCAGACACAGAACATCTTCATCATTGCAGGAAGTTCTGCCAGGCAGCACTGCTCTAGAGAAATGAGAACTTTGAAAAGTGTTATAGCTGTACTACTGATCCCAGAGTGGGCCCCGGGTCAGGAGACAGAAAGTAGGGCCTAAACTCTCCTCTGGGAGCAAGGAGACAAAAAGATTCAAAGCATAGATTTCTCTGGGTCAAGAAGAAAGCTATAATTTTGTGTATGTGTGTGTTTCTTTTAAAAAATATTCTTTTCTCCACTTCCCTTTGGCGTTCCCTTATTGTTCAGTAAAATGCCCTTTGAAAATGTCAACTTGCCTCTACTGAGCTCAAGAGAGTGTGAGGTAAAAGGCTCTCATCTTTACTTAGGACAGAGAGATAAAAGTGATGGGGTTAGGGAATACAGAGACACAGCTCCTGGGGGGCAAACTGACATACTGAAAGAGCCAAGGCTTGACCATCACACCTTCACCTCCTGTAGATTCCTCTCCCCAAGCTATTTTCTGCTGAAACCCACAACCAGTGCCTTCCAAGTGAGAGAGGAGGACCAGCAGCATCAGCATCACCATGGATGCTTGTTAAGCTTAGAGATGCTTATGCCTTACCCTTGACTAATAATTCACAGCTTGGGAGGCAGAGGTGAGGGGCTGGGATCTCCAAGCTTAACAAGCTCCTCCAGTGACTCTGGTACACATTCAAGTCTGTGAATCACTGGCTTGGAGGGAGATGTGTTTTGCTTTAATGAGTGAAGTTAGGCCCTTACATGGGGTGACAGCAACTGGATCAGAAAAAAAGAGGATAAGGATAGAGATTCAGGGGATATGAATTAATGAATATGAAAGTTAGACAGAGAAAATGAGAAACAAGAGTTTGAGAAACCTAAGAAGCAGCTGCACCTCACTGAGTAGAATCTTAGAGGCCAGTCCAGTTGTCCTTTTCAACATCTTGGGACTGTCACAGGCAAGGCCCAGGAGGGTTGTTGGTTCTTCATGGAAATACCCCCCCATACCAACCTGCATGTACCCACATGCCCCATATCATAGCTACCTCACAGATGTCCTTGAGGTGCTTGATGTAGTGACGCTCAGTGCTCATGATCTCATTGATGACGTTGGCCCGCATCTGGTCCCGGTTCTGTAATGGCCGGCCCAGACAGAGGCAGTCTGAGGTGGGGTCCAGGTGCCCGTTCTGCACATCACTGGGTCCTTCCTCCACCCCATCCTCCTGGTTCACCCAGAGCTGTGGAAGCAGGTAGAAGAATAATGGGTTAGCTTCCTTCTCATGAGGAGTTTCCAGCCAAGTAGAGAAAGGATAAATATTTCCAGTATTCAGAGAGCTTTCAACCAGAGCCAGACCTGGTTGTAGGGTGAGTTGCTGGCTCTGGACATGGGTCTAATTTTCTCTAGATCTCTGGTGACCTATTTGTAAACTGGAGGATGGGGTATAGGGGCCTAAATCATCTCTGTGAGCCTTCTTGGCTAAGAAGTTCTCAGAAGAGGAGAAGTGATGGCAAGCAAAATTTGTTCATGTTGGAGCACATCTAGACAGCACAACTGAATCAAAAAAAAAGAAAAGAAAAGATTAAGGTATACATCTTGAGTGCCACATGTGGATTACTGTCAAATCACAGCACGTAAATGCCTATGAGTGTGGAGACCAAAGTTGAATGCTGGAGTGGGCATCTCAAAAAAAGGACTTTCAGTGTTAATTTGCACCAAATGATATACAAATAATCATCAAAATTTGACAGTACAATTCCTCAGACATGTAGAGATCTCTACCTCCTCAAGGTTGGTGTGGGAATGGCAGAATATTATCCCAGCATGTAATAGCAACAGCTATTAACTGAGTACTTAACATACAGCAGCCACTATGCTAGGAGCTTTCAATATGCTGCATTCAGTCCTGCTGGGAAGATACCATTATTACCACCATTTCACAGAAGAGGAGACTGACATTCACAGAAGTTAAGGAATTTGTCTCGCGTCACAGAGTTAGGAAGCAGAGGAGCTGGGATAAAAACCAAGAAGTCTGACTATAGGGCCTATTCTCTTGAACATTGTGTGTCAGCATCTTTGTGCCTCTGGCTCCAAGGGAAACAGGAAAAGAGAAGGAAAGGGCTTGGACCAAGGTGCGCTGAGAATTATTAGAATTGTCACAAATGGATACAGTTGGTAAAGGTTGAGACTGTCTTTTCCAAATCAATAAGGCAGAGGGAAGCTGAAAAAACCTCCACTGGGAAGCCTAGGTGAGGTGTCTCTGGATCTTGGCTGAGTTAGCTTGAATAAAGGAGATGGCCAATTTTACCACAGTCCTAGGAAGAGAAAAAACCATGGGGGCAGTGAGAAAAAAAGGGTGGGATCCGTAGGCAGACTGGCAAAAATCCATCAAGGGTGATTAGCCAAGGAGGAGCTTGCCAGCTGTCTCAACAGCTTTAATCAATTCTCCATATTTCTCCTCCCTACTATGTAGCATTTTACACATTCCTGCCTTAAGAGGCTGAAGATCAGCAGAAAGCAGGAGAATGCCTGGGGACCTATGCAAGAGCCACAGGCAGCCTCCACTGCCTGACAGAAGGGAGGAACACTCCTGGGGACCTAGGCAGGAGCTGAAGGCAGCCCCCACCACCCAGAAGAAGGCAGGAGCTGTGGGCAGAACACCCTGCATGACAGAAGGCAAGAGGACACCTGGGAGCCTAGGCTGGAGCCGTGTGCAGCACTACCCACCTGGGAGAAGGCAGAAACACACCAAAAGCACCACTCTGCAAAAGGGGTCCACCACAGCCACTGCCACAGCCACTGCTGCTGCAAGGGCAGCTCAATACCACAGCAGCACACTGCAGGGCCACAGGCCCACTTGATTGCATTGATACAGGAGAGTCACCAGAGGAGACTGGAAAAACAGGAGGAAGTCTCTCTCCTCAAAGCCCACTCCAGAGGAAAAGAAGCACCTGCTCTACCAGATAACCAGACATCAATGTAAAGATACCAGAAATATGAAAAAAAAAAAAAGAAAATATGACACCACCAAAGGAATATAGTAATTCTCAACTACCTGACCCCATAGAGCAGGAAACCCTTGAAATGATTGAAAAGGAATCCTGAGCAACAATCATAAGGAGACTCAGTGAGAGACTAGAAGATTCAGACAACATAATGATACAAGAAAAAAAAATCCACAATATGAAGTAGGAAACTTACAAAGAAATTAGTTATGTTAAAAAAAAAATTAATGTAGCAGAACTCCTGGAACTGAAAGATTCATACAATGAAATAAAAACCACAATGGAGAGCTTAAGCAGCAGTTTAGAGCAAGCAGAAGATAGATTTTCAGATCTCGAAGATGGTCTTTTTAAAATAACCCAAGTGGACCAAAAAAAAAAAAGGAAAATAACTAAAATAATGAAGAAAATCTAAGAGAACTAGCAAGAGAACTAGCAGACAACCTTAAATGCACAAACATTCAAATCATGGGTGATGCAGAAAAGGAGGAGAAAGGAAAGAGCATTGAATAGGAAAAACCTATTCAATGAAATCATTACAGAAAACTTCCCAGGAACAGTGAGAGACATAGACTTTCAGATCAAGGAGGCTCAAAGACTCCCAAATAGATTCAAACCAAAAAGATTCTCTCCAAGACACATTATAGTCAAACTGGCAAAGCTCAAAGACAAAGAGAATCCTAAAAGCATCAAGAGAAAAGTGTCGAGTCACCCAATCAGACTAACAGCAGACTTCTCAACAGAAACTCTACAAGCCAGAAGAAAATGGGATGATATATTCAAAATACTAGAAGAAAAAGTGCCATCAAAAATAGTACACCCAGCAAGGCTTTCTATCAGAAATGAGGTAGAAATAGTGTATTTCTCAGACAAACAAAAACTATGGGAGTTCACCAACACCCAACTAGCCCTGGAAGAAATCCTCACAGGAGTCCTAAATCTGGACTCTGACAAACAATAATCACTACCATGAATACACAATAAAGAAAAAAACCCACTGGTAGAAGAAAAATGCAAAGGAGAAAGAGAAACAAACTAAATCTTACCACCTCAGAAAATCAACAAACATCAAACACAAACAATAAAAGGGGAGGAAAGGAACAAAAGATCATTAAAAACTTCAAATGAAAACCAATAAAATGCCAAGAGTAAGACAATACCTTTCAATAACAACCCTAAATGTAAATGGATTAAACTCCCCACTTAAAGATACAGACAGACAGACTGGATTAAAAAGCTAGACCCAACTCTATGCTGTCACAAAGAGACTCACCCCACCTGTAAAGACACAAACAGACTAACAGTGAAGGGAAAGAAAATGATATAGCATGCAAATGGGAACCAAAAATGAGCAGGAGTAGCTATTCTTATATCAGATAAAATAGACTTTAAATAAAACCAGAAAAAGAGACAAAGATGGTCACCATGTAATGATAAAGAGATCTATCGAGTAATAAGACCTAACAACCATAAATATGTATATACCCAAAACTGGTGCACCCAGATATATAAAGCAAACACTATTATACTTAAAGAAAGAGATAGACCCCAATATGATAATAGTAGGGGTCCTGAACACCACTCTGTCAGCACTGGACAGGTCATCTAGGTAAAAAACCAACAGAAAGATACAGGATTTAAACTACACCTTAGACCAATTGGACCTAGCAGATATCTACAGAACATTTCATCCAACAACTACAGAATACACATTCTTCTCATCAGTACATTCAGCATTCTCTGGGATAGACCACATGTTAGGTTACAAATCAAGTCTCAGCAAATTTAAAAAATTTGAAATCATTCCAACTATTTTTCTAGACTATGACAGATTAAAAATAGAAATCAATAACAAGCAAAACTCTGGAAACTATACGAATACATGGAAATTAAACAACATGCTCCTGAATGACCTATGGGTCCAAGAAGAAAGAAAACAGGAAATCAAAAACTTTCTTGAAGCTAATGGAAATGAAGATACATCTATACAAAAACCTGTGGGATACTTCAAAAGCAGTACTAAGAGGGAAGTTTACTTCAATAAACACTTACATCAAAAGAATAGAAATACTTCAAATGAACAACCTAATGCTACACATCAAAGAACTAGAAAAATAAGAACAATCCAATTCCAAAATTAGTAGATGGAAAGAAATAAGCAAGATCAGAGCAGAACTAAATAAAATAGAGACCCCCAAAATGATACAAAAGACTAATGAAACAAAAATTTGTTTTTAAGGGCCGGCCTGGTGGCGCACTGGATGGTGCGCCGCTTGGGAAGCGCGGCAGCGCTCCCGCCCGAGGGTTCGGATCCCACATACAGACCAGTTCCCGCTCACTGGCTGAGCGAGGCGCGGGAGCGGCGCCGAGGGCTGCGATCCCGTTGCCGGTCCCCGGTCCGGTACGGGGGCAACACTGAGGGTTGCGATCCGCTGCCGGACACGGAAAAAGACAAAAAAAAAAAATTTTGTTTTTAAGATAAGCAAAATGGACACATCATTAGCTAGACAAACTCAAAAAAGAGCAGAAAAGACCTAAATAACAAAAAATCAGAAATGAAAAAGGAAACATTAGGACCAATACCACAGAACACAAAGAATCATTAAAGACTATTATAAACAACTATACACCAACAAATTTGAAAATACAGAGGAAATAGATAAATTTCTGTACATATACAAACTACCAAGACTGAACCAAGAAGTCATATAAAACCTGAACAGACCAATAACAAGCAATGAGACTAAAGCATTAATCAGCAGTCTCCCAACAAAGAAAAACCAATGACTGGATGGCTTTACTGCTAAATTCTACCAGACCTTTGAGGAAGAATTAGTATCAATTCTCTTCAAACTATTCCAAGAAACTGAAACACAGACCATTCTCCCAAACCCATTCTATGAGGCCAGCATCACCCTGATACCAAAGATACAACAAAAAAAGAAAACTACATGCTAATATCTCTGATGAACATAGATGCAAAAGTCCTCAACAAAATATTAGCAATCAGAATACAGCAAGACATCAAAAAAATTACACACCATGATCAAGTGGGATTTATCCCAGGTATACAAAAATGGTTCAACATACACAAGTCAATAAATGTGATACATCTCACCAACAAAATCAAGGACAAAAACCATATGATTATCTCAATAGATGTAGAAAAAGCATTTGACAAAATATGACATCACTTCAGGATAAAGACCCTCAGCAAATTAGGTACAGAAGGAAAGTA